GATCATCCCAGATGTGGTATTGAAAACAGTGTAGGGAGTCCAGAACAAAGCTGAGAGCCCAGCTGGCCTACTGCAATAGTCCCAGCAAGAGATGACGGCAGCTTAGACTAGGTTAATAGGGAAGAATAAAACTGAGGGGCGGGTAAGTCAAAGTCCTATTTTAGACATGTTAAATGAGATGCCAGAAGAAGAAACAGTCCACCAATTAATATGTAAACCAGTCCACCAATTAATATGTAAAACGAAAGATGATTTACAGCAAGAGAGGGCTATACTTACAAGGCACGGTCTCTTAGAGCAAAACTGACTGGGTAGCTCATCAATGGGTAAACCTTCATAAATGGGAGAGTTTGGGGACTGATTGACTTTAGCCATGGAAATGTGATTCCTGGAAGGTGTGTTGCTTATTGCCTGGCTCTCATGCCCCAGCATAGTGATGAGAAGCTGTCATTTTTCATTTGGTCAGGTTGGAAACTGGTTCTGGTAGTTTACATGTGACCAAAGAGCAAACAGTTCTTCCTAGAAAGGTGGAAATATTTCAAGTTCATGCCTAGTTAGCCAAGTGAATAAGTTTTACAAGAAGCAATAGTAACTAGTAGAAAAAAGAAAACATGATTACTGAAGTGATGTTTTTGTGTGGTGCAAAACTGGAAACAAATTTTAAATGTGCTTTCATTAATAAAGAACCAGGAATCAGTGAGGCATTTGAGAAAAGGTCATCAGTCAAGACTTTGCCTCCGGAGCCTGGACTTGTGATTAATGCCAACTATCACATCTGTCAAATGTGGCCAGACTGGATTTTTTTTTTTTCAAGATCTATGTCAATAATTTGATGACATTGTGTGTTTGTGTGTATGTGTGCGCATGTGCACACGGGCACTCAAGTATACGTATGTGTGGACACATTTTTGCATTTAACATTTTGATACATAAACATATGGGTGTGTGAACACACTTTTAAGTTTGGGGCAAAATGTTAAATAACACTTCAGGAAAAATAGATGAAAAGGATTAGATATTTTCTCCAAATTATGATGGGAAGAAAAGAGATCATGATTTGCCATACCATCTTGGGATCTTGAGCTTAAGTTCTTCTTTTTCCACATTTAACATTTAAGTTTGTGAAACTGAACAAAAGAGAGACAAAAGACCTAAAGGACTCTCAGCCAATGATCCAGCTGGTTTTAAAATTCTACCCTGAAGGGTACACAAGGGGTACCCTGGAGGGGTAGCACAAGGGACTATGATGATGGATCAGGGGTGATGCGGTGGTGGATTTACAGGGACTCCACCTGAGGGGAGAAATCAAACACTGCCCAAAAATTAACAGCGATGTAAGAAAATAAATAATTTAATTTAATTTAAAAAATAAATTATATCCTGAAGAAAAGGAAAGGAAATACGTAGCGAGGGCCATTGTAGCTCTTTCTAAGAGTAGTATAGAGTAAATTTTCACTTTTTATAATTTTCCATATTTACTGATAAAAATAATTCAGTGCAAAGAAATTCCACTTTATGAAGACACTCAGCCTCCAAGCTCTCTAGTCAAACCGTGTCAGTGGCCTGGGTTTTGGATAAAAGCCCCAAGGTCTGTCCTCCAGGGACTCAGTGTGTAGTGAGGGAGAGCAGGGGCCCAGATTCATGGAAGGGAGAGGGGGGTCAGTGCAGCTGAGAGTTCAGAACCACCAGAAAGACAGAGGTAGGCAAGGCTTAGCATGGGCCATGGCTCAGCGGTGAGAAAGAATAACTTTCTAAGGAACAGGAGGGGTTCGCTTTGTCCTTGGTGAGCCCAAAGGATGCTCAGAGCAGGAGTGAGGGGTGAGGCCAAGAGGAAAAAGATCTCAGAGCACTTTGTGACCCAGCTAAAGAGCTCGAGGTATAGCCTGCCCGTTAGAAAATTTTTTAAAGTATCTAAGGACCCAAACCCAAGACTCTTTGTACCTTCATAAACCTTTATCTAATTTGTGGCCCTGACTTGAAGATCTTCTCCGGGCTTGGACTATCTGCCAGACTTGGCCAAGACAACCAGTCCTTCCTTTTCCTAGGCAAGGAGTTGTTAAAGGCCATTTTAGTCTTTGAACTATCAAAGAGAGAGCTCAGAGGAATGGATACATAGAAGAGGTACTTGAATAGAGGCAACTTCAAATATGGTCAGTAACTGGAAAATATGTCAATTTTGCAACAACTAGGAACTTTCCTCCATAACCTCATAGCAGCCTCAGTCTTGGACATCATGCACACTCAGTACTTCCCTGGACAGATGAGATTAAAAAGGGAGGATTTACTTTCTATCAGCAGACTCTATGGTAGACAAATGGTATCTGTTAGAAGATCATAATGTGCTTCAATACTGTGCCACACTTCAAGACTCATCACCATTTGTAACCACGAGTAACCCCAGGTTCAGAGGCAATATTCTCACTTGCCCTTTGAGAACTGCCATGAGGGAGCTGCAGCATTACCTTACCTGAATGTGGATTAACAAGTCCTGTCTTGTTTCAGATGCCACCTGGCAATTTCACTTCTGAGAACAAGGGAGTAATCACCGGTCAATTTTAGGAAAAGGACTCTGAAAGGAGGTATCCCAAACTGTGCTTTAGGGGAAGATTGAGGTTGGGCATGGTCCAAAAGAATATCAACAGAGCATAAACTGAGAGAGAAGTTGGAAAGACTCACGTCACAGATGAGACTAAATCCTCAATATTCTCATGGTAAAACCAAATGGCGTAACATCCTGAAATGCCCAATCTTGCCTATGACCAGAAGGATCAAAGACCACCATCCACACACCCCTATCTCATCTAGTCTTTAGTAGTCTTAATAATTTACATTTACATTTTCCCTTGCATTAGGATAGTGGGTACCTCTTTGACCCAAGTAGACACTGAGTCCCTAGGAAGAAAGAATCACATGTTCTATTCATCTTTGTCTTTTCACCCTCTCTTTCTTTTCCAACATTTGCTCCCTCGCTTTCTTGCACATAATAGAAGCTAAATAATTTGTTGGTTGGATCGAATCCAAGCCTTCCAGTCAGCATTAAACCTCGTGTTCAGAAAGAAAAGGTCGAGGAAGCCATATACAAAAGAAGGTCCCAAGATGATGCAAGTCTTCTCTAAATCTCAAGCTAGAAGGAAAAGAGAAATGGTAGTTCTGGCAATTTAGCAAAGCTACCCAGGGTGAGGAGCCCTGGAAGACCCTCATATCTAAGCCATTTTCCACCCAGTGCTGGGTTTAGAATAAAACTGAACATACCATTCTGTCAGTTGCCAAAGGATGACATAAAATGATGCTCTCAATGCTCTACATTCCTAAGTTGCCTCTCCTACTGTGAAAGCAAAGAGCTAAAATCATCTCTTCATAACTTAAAGATTTCCAGGGATGGCTCATGTTGTAAGCCAGTAACTCCATCCAATCTAAGATGCCTCATTAATCAGGAAGATTTCGAAAAGGCCCTGTATCTGTTGACTTCAGAATTCTTAAGATCTTTTCCAACCCTTGCCCAGTTATCTTCCCCGACAATTTCTGCATCTAGTGCCTTCAGACTTTCCCAGGAGATCTGTCTTCCCCCAAAGCTGCAACCCAATACTAGCCAGTTAGATATCCTTTGATATCTAAGAAGAGTCCATGACAGTCCAAAATATATATTGAAGAAATTCATTTCCTAACACCATTTCAGACATTAGTATTCTACGAACCATTGTTTGACTCTGTTCAGGCTCAAGAAGAAAACAGTTGAGGACAACTTCAGGTCATTTGTGGTGTTCATTAACCTCCAACACTCTTTGAGGACATTGTTGAAAACTGAGAAGAAACTGAATTACAAAACTGTGGCAAAGGTTCTAGGCTTCTTGTGTCATCTGAGCCAGCCTGACAATCCTTTGTTTAAACCAAGTACAAAGGCACAACAGATGCAGTCCCAATCCTTGATGGCCTTAAACTAAGCCAATGTATTTGGCAGTCACTGTGCAATACTAAAAACACCATAGAAAACACCACCCAAAAAGCTAAATCATTAGGCCACTACGTAGGTCTATATTTAGTAACTGATTCATCACAGAGGACCCATCAGGATGCAGTTCTGCTTAAAGCCACTGGACCACATCAGACTTTTATTTTGGTTCAGGCATTAAATTATTAATATTTCTCCTGTTTTCCAGAATAGGAGTAATTTTTTTCCATCTCCCACTGGGACAGAATTAAGATATCTCAATCAAGTCCCACCATGGTGGGAAGATTCAAAGTTGCTGATAGGCCTCTTCTCAGCCCACGTGCGTGGGGCATGGGCCTGGGCCTGCTGGAAAAGTAGAAGGCAAGTTCCACCATGACAAGAGCATCCTTTTCATCTGCAGCAGCATAGCCAGCTCTCACAGCAAGCAGCCGGTAACAGAAAATTCAGCCCTGATTACAAAATGGCACCAGCCAATGATTCACCGAAAACCCTGATGCTCTATTTGCAAGAGAAAGTCAAGAATACTAACTAATAGCCCCAACACTGCCCCTGGTTAAGACCAAGGAGAGGAAAGGATGTTTGGTTTAATCCTGAGAAGTGTTGTCACTGGGCTGTGACCGGATGTTACACACCCAGTGGTTCCCCAAGTTCCAGGCTGGGGCAGTCCATTTAACCAGTCCTTGTATCGACCACAAAAGTGTACCATGAGGATGGAAGCTTTGGTGTTACTCAGTGTCTCTTTCATGAAGATCCCAGCAAAAAATTCCTCTTGAGTATCCAAATTCATAAGAAGTAAATGATGTAACTTGGGTGTTCACCCATTTTGCCTTATAGATAAAAAAATTCAGCTCAATTCAGGACCTAGCCAGGGTAGCCTTAATGAGATCAGCTGCAATGTCATACATGGCTTTCTGAAGGGCCTCTGCTCTATTTTATCCTTGAAGTATGTTGTGTTCAATCTTGTAAATTGCTTCAAACCACATGCTAGAAATAAGATATCTAAAATACGAAATTCTTGGGCAAACATCTCCCTTTTTTGGGACAATCTTACCTGCATATGAGCCTATTTTTCACCAACGCTGTAAAGATCTCCTGAAAGAGTTTATGCTGGGGATGTTGGCTGAAATTTCTCTCATTCTTGTAGTTTATACTGAGATGAAACAAACAGGAAAACATTTTGTAATAATTATTTAGGTTGCCTCAAAGTTACCAATGCAGAAAAGATAAAATAGGAAACAGAAATTCAATGATATAATAAAGATTATGGTCAAGGATACATTTCATTTTGCCATAATAACTAAATTATTCCCTGTAAACACTGAGCTGAAATTTTCACATGGAGCATATTTTCACAGGGGGCATATTACCTGGACAACTATGCGATAGAAAAGAATTTTGTCCCTTCACTTTTCTACCCACCCAGAGCCTCTCTGACTGCTGCAGTCACTGTAGTCAACACCAGCAGTTGCCATCCACATTTCCTTGCAGAGAACATGGTGGAGGAGACATCTGCACCCCTTCAACTGTGAGAGTTTTTGTGACTGCTGATTGTTTATAGGGTGTGTGTGTGCGTCTTACATTGTCTTGAGATTTGAGATATCCCAGCTTCGACTTCTTTTTTCTGATATTACAGCCCATCAAAGAGGTTAAAAATACCCTCAAAAGATCCTACTTCAAAACTGGGAGCCCATGAATGACAACACACAAGACTCACATTGCCATAGAATATGTGACACAATGTTTCTGTGCATACTAAAATAGGCCAGTTTTAAGAGCTAGGTCCAGTTCAGGCCCTAAGCTGGCATTAGTGAATATACCACCTCAAAGGCCTACTGTTACCCTCCTGAACATACCACCTCAAAGGCCTACTGTTACCCGCCAAATGAAGACTGCAGCCCTTTCTTAATATATGAACTCAGGTAGACTGAATATGTAACAATTCTTAAAGAATATAGTGTTCTTCACCAGAAATACATATATAAATATGTGAGGGTCAATTCACACCATGTGACTTCTATGGATGATTAAATTCATTGTCAGAGAAGGGCAGGGAAACACAATGTAGGCCAAATAAATAAGTGATCCTTCCAGAATATTCATGATGATATTTCAGGCCATTCATTATTTACACAGCTCTTAGTGCCAACCTTCCACACTGTAAAACTGAGAGAACCAGCTTCTGAAAAGGGAGTGGCTATGAGAATTTGTGGCTGCTGGTCGTGTGCATGGTGACAGGAGAGACAAACACGGCCAACACTCTGGGTGTTGAAGGTGAGGCGTGATCCCTTCACACCTGGTGGAAATCCAGGTTGTTTTGACAACCACAGCCTTCAGCTGCCACATTTATTCACAGCAACAGCCTTCTTTATGTAGGCAAGACAGGGACAGACCAGAAACAGAAGGCAAAGCAGGGAGCCAGGCTTGTTGGGTCAATAATCTGAAATACTTCCTCATGGAGCAAAAGCCAGAAGTGCATCAGTGAGTGTGCTCAGAGCACCGTCCCAGGTCAGGTCCACTTGCAGCCACTGATCCTGTTGGTCACACATCACTTCTGGGAATAGTTTAGATACGAACTAAAATGATTAAATTAAGAACTCCTGTGGTAAGTTATGAAACGGGCTCTAAGTCATGCCTCCTGTGAGAAACTTAAACAAAGTTCCAGACTGATCAGAATCTGTGGGTAAAGGCAAGAGGGGGTTCAGGATTTCTTACCTAAAATTTTCAAGTTCAACAGCTTCGGTGGACTCGTGCCACTGACCTCGAGCTCTGTGTCCGCCCACCTTGATGGCTGGCTCAGACTTCGTCATGCTATTTGGGGTGCTATCAAAGTTAATGGCTGGAAGCTACAGAGAGAGACACACAGGGTGGAGAAAGAGGATGACAGTTCAGCACGGGATCAAAAAAGTAGCTAAAGGGGCAAATGGGATTAGGGATGAAGGAAATGAAGTTGCTTCCAAACCAACAAACACAACAGCTATGTCAAATATAGGGGTTCCCCACACTTTAAACACCTCTGACTTAAACGTGTTCTCTCTCTACTTGACACTGCTTCATTTTTCTTTGCAGTGTGTAGTTTGTAACACCACCTGTCCCATCTCACAGTTACTTGTGTATTCCCAGCCTCCCTTGATTGTGTCAGCGCCACACGAGCAGGAACTTGCCTGTTTCTGTCCAGTGCTGTCTCCAGCGCCTCCAACGGTGCTGGGGATACAGATCTGGGTGAGGCCTCGGCATGAAGCACTTTTGCAGCTTCTCAGAGGGTCAAACGTACCACCGAACTAAAGCATTTCCAGACCCATTTGGAACCCACGGGTGTAGAACAGAACCCCAACTTGAGGCTTTGTTCTTCACCATGGACCCCGGGTCCTGTACTCTGCTTGCCAGGTGATAGGGAGAAAAGTGGTAAGAAGATTCTTTTGCTTTTCATCAGTCTGCCCATCCTGATAACTTAATCCTATTCATGGAAATCATTAAAATCATGGTTGATTTTACCATAGGAAAAGGAAAAATGTGTTTATATTAACTACAACAACCTGAGTATGCCCCATTTACAATTTAAACTGCCAGCTATTTATGGAATACATTGCCAAGTTATCAGCTTTCAAAGAGTTTCACTTACCAATATTTACCTATTGTCAGGATAACCTGAGATCTGTTTCTCATAACCCCATAAAGCTGAGCGGAGTGGAAGAAAATACGCTATTCTTTCCAAAGTACAAGTGGGGGATCTTTTACCAGTAACTAAATGACTCCAGATGAGGCCAGAGAGCACAGTAAACAAAAGACCCATTTTCCAGTAACAAATTCCATTCCATATGTTAAACTTATCAAACAAAGCTGCAAAATGTTGCACTTTTCTTATTCCATTCAAGTATTTGATCTTCAGGAAGACCATTTCCTTATGCAAAGGCAGCACGTCTGACTTGCCAGAAGGCAGGCAGATCACAGAAAGATGTATTTTAATAACAACATCTTTTAATAGCTAAAAAAACACAGAACACCAGATCCTTTTTCATCAGATGCCAGTCACAGGTGAACTTTCAAAATATCAATCGTAAATCTTCCATCCTGTGCAACTACCTTTCTATCTCAGTTCAGGGGTCAGCCCTCGACCCCCACAAAACGGCACATCAGCACTAGAGACAGCGTGTCTAGTGGGGAAGAAAACAAACTCCATGCACATGTTTGGGGTTTAAGTCCACCAGGAGCAGAGCTCTCCTGCCCACCTGTGGCTGAGCAGGTGTTTCTCTTCGCCAACCTTCTCCCCTTGCCAAGCGCAGCGGGAGCGCCCCCCCCAGGACTGCCAGCCTGGGACTCTGAAGGCCCCTCTTTTGACAAACCTGTCCCTGTCAGGGGCCGCTCTTTCTGCCCACTTGTGTCTGTGCAAGTGTCCTTGACTTCCTTTCCCTTTTTGAAGTGAAACTGCCCTTTTGAATATAATAGATAAATAAATAAATCTACCAGGAATTATTAGCTCCATGAACTTGGAAAAGTCGAACTCCCAGCATATCCATCTCCACATCAATAAAATGAAAATAATAGTGCATATCTTCAAGATATTACAAAGATGAAATGAGAGGGTACTTACAAAGCACTTCAGTGGCAGGCATAGTTCTAAGTACTGCACAGATACTCATTCATAGTGAGTATGAATAGTGAGTCTCACTGCATAGACATATTTGCCAAATAAATAAGATCCATCCTTACAAAGTAGGTGATTTCTGGATGTGAGCGGATAACCCACATGGTATTGGAAATGAAAGCACAGCAATGAGTTATTTTCCTATGTGACACAGCACAGGTCCCAGTACACAGCACGGGACATGGGTTTTCCAGGCCCAGGGGGTTTCAAAACCCCTGCTGTCACCTCAGCTCCCAGAAGCCCTGTCACAAGAAGGGTAGCGGCGGCAGGAGAGCCAGCCCATGTGCTGGCGGGAGGCAAGCTGCAGGGCAGCCGGGCCCTCTGCCATCAGAGCAGGCCGCTGGTGCTGGAGGAACTCCCGCAGACTGAGTGGATGAGCTGGACTTGGCATCTACAGTTGCAAAGAGGAGGGACTTAAGTGTAGAAGGCTTGGTGCGACCTGGTTGCTTCAGACAGAAGCAAGGGGAGTTCAGAACCCAACTCAAAACCCACAGTCCTTTTGCATCCCAGTTCCTCGGACCTTCTGTCTAGCTTTTGTCATCTCCTGTCATACAGAAGTCAGTCCAGCCAAGGGTGTGGGACAGCACTCACACCCAGAGATGCAGAGGCAGAGCCGGAAGTAACTCCCTTACCCAGCTCTGTCCTGTGAAGCCATTCATTCTGTTAAGGTCCTCTACATCTGACAGAATGTTCTGAGCGATCCCAAATCTGAAATGTCAGGCCTCACAAATACAGCACAATACAGTCACATAAGTCCTTGCCCACTGGTGAAAGGTTGAAAGATCTCCAATTTGAAAGCTATCTTCCCCAGCCCCCTGGGAAGAAAGAGCCCAAGGTCTCGCTCACATGCCAGTCTTTCCTTCTGGAAGCCGGCCACTGCAAGCTTGTCGCATCTGTCCACCTTTGTGCTCTGAGCATCTCTCACAGAACCTGGCACATCATAGCTGAGCAAATGCAAAGCTATTGAAGGAAAGCTCACTTTGTCCTCACCCTTTTTACTAAACTGATTCATCTGGTAAACCACCTCCTGATGAGTTCATCCACTCAGCACGTTAGTGGCAGACACATTTGCCAGAGAGGTAAATATAGAGATAGCTGAAGGAAAGACAAAAATATTAAAGCAAAATGGTCTATCTGGGCCTCCCCGGTGGCACAACAGGTTGAGTGCAGCACTGTGAAGCTGTCCGCAGCCTCTGCAGCATGGGTTCGATTCCCAGCAGGCCAGGGAGAGTCCCACATGGCGCGGCAGATCTCTCCTGTCTCGCCCGCTGCTCCCCTCAGCAGTGCTTTCGGTGTGTCTGCCTGTTGTGCTCCCCGCTCTGCCTCTGGTGAATCCTCTCACCCTCCTGCACCTCTGGCCTGTACCCCAGCTATTGTATAAATAAAAAATAAATCTTTAAAAAAAAAATGGTCTGTCTGACTACTTACTCCTTCCCCTGGGATGACTTTCCCATCAATCTCACTGATGGAAAATCAGCCCATTTTTTCAAGAACACCTCCTTCCTGCAACCTCCTCCGAGTCCATAAACCTGCTGTTTGTTCCACTCATCCAGGATTCACGGCCTGCCTTGTCCTGTACCAGAAGTGACATTCCTCTCCCTGGTCTCTCTGAACACAAGAACCCTGCTCGCTTCTCTTCCCTTCCATAGCACCTATCAAAACCTCTTTTATTTCAAGGCAATCCATGGTTTTAACCCAGTCCCCTATGGTTTTAAATGTAAAAAGAAAAAAAACAAACAACAACAACAAAAGGATTTCAGTTCCAGATATATTACTTTAAGATTTGCGAAATGCTCAGGCGAAAGCTCTAAACAACTTCACATCTGTCATTTGACTTTGCTTCAACAACCCTGGGCCAGTTCTTTTTCTCAAAGTATTTGGTTCTGCAGGGTTAGGATGATTGTAACCCAGATGACAAAAAAGGGGAGCCCCCTGCCCCAGGGCCTGTGTCCCCCAGTCTGACAAACAGAGGGACTGTTCTAGAGAACAACCACACTAACGAGGCGCAGCAAGGTTGGCAGAGACACCCAGAGACAGCCAGAGCTGTCCGGACACAGAGGCAAAGCAGAGAAGCCCAGAACACACGGGACAATGAGGGAAGTGGCTTGACTCATCAGATTTAGGTGAAGGGCGCTCTGATCTTTGCATTTCTCTGCCTAAGCCCACAGTGTAGATTTCCTCTGCAACCAGGTAATTAGCCACGCTGGCCCATTTACAAATAACAGGCCAGGTCCTGTTAGAACAGAAATTCAGGTAAGCGGGCTTTAGTCCCAGGAATCCTTTTTCAAATTGACAGCTAGAAACCTCAGAGTCACATGTATGGTCCTCTTGCATAGTCTGATGGGCATTTTTGCCTGAATCAATTCCACTTGGTACCTGAGCCAAGTTTTTCTTTCTTCTTTGGCCCTGCTTTTAATTTATAATGACCTGTCACAATTTAGGTATCTTTATAAGCCTCCTTACATTCTTTCCGGAACAAACAAGGGATAAATTCTTGATTTATTCTCTTCAGTACTTTCTTCTCCCATGAAAATCTATACATTGTTGTTCAGAAAGGAAAACAGGATGTCTGTTATAATATTTACTTTTCTGAAAGTATAAATGCATGAAAGTTTTACAAACAGAATTAAGGGTGAATTCCAGGAACCTCAGGACCTTTATATAATTGGGGACAGATATTTTCATTTTTTCTTAAAACCATCTACTTTCTGCATACTAATGACACGCTGTATTACAAACTCACATCTCTGTATGTGTGAGATATTTTACAAAAAGATAGACCATGTGAACTTGCCAGAGCAGATTGCAGAATCTAAAATTGGCTTAAGAGGGAAAAAGATTAAATTCATTTGAATTAATCCTTCCAGGTGTTAATAAGGAAATGGTGTTGAAGGGGGACACAGAAATCTGATGAAGATGAACTTCAACTTTGGAAAATTAGAGCCAAAAACTACCCCTGGTTTCTCTTTCCCCCTGGTCAGGAGGTTGGGGGGGGTCCCCATACTCATGAGCCAGTCCAAATTTTAGTCATGATTCAATGTGCAAAATCTCACCAACTAGAAGATACTGTGAACCGAAGTCAAAAGTCAACATTGCTGGCAGTGGTGTCAGATAGGCAGACAAGTGTTTCCAAAACAAGGAAGAGAATAATGCCACAGCAATGAAAGAGAGGGCGTGGGGGAAGAAAGAGAGCATTTTTGTGGAGGAGGTGTTATTACATCCAGGTCTTGGAATAGGTAGATTTTATAGGAAAGAAATGTGGAAGGAAGAAGGGCCTCAGAAAGGCAATAAGTAGAGGCCTCTGACATTGTGATTGCCTCTCGGACTATGCACTGAGGATGGGAGCCACAACCCAAACTGTATGCTGAGTCATCCTTACTAAGGAAGCATGGACTTGACCCCGGGCAATCATTTGTGAAGACTTGTGAGCAGTGAGCCAGGAAGACTGTTGTTAGCCATAAAGAGATGCACAAAGTAAGAGTGACTCCTCACACAGTTTAGATGAGGAGGAAAAAATTCAGGAGGAGGTGGGGGTGTTGTGACATCAATAGCAGAGAAGCAGGATGGGGAGGAGAAAAGATATTTGAAGGCCATGTGGATGACAAATCAATGCTCACAGAACTATTTTTTGAACTGTACTTTTACCTCTGGTTAGAGGCACACATCGCAAAGAAGAGGGTGTTTGAATTCAGATCTGTATTCCAGCACTGACAGGCCATATGATCCTGGGAAAGTAACTCACACCCCTGTCCCTCAGTTTCCTATCTGTTAAAGTGGGAGCTGTGGTTATTAAGTGAGGTAATGCAGGAAAAGTGCCATATCAAAAGCTTCGCCTAAATAAGAACCATTATTATTTGGCCTGTAGATGCCATCAGATCATCAGGAGGGCATTCTCCACTATCAGGCAAACGCTAGATAAATATGCCACAGTGCTCTGGTAAATGGAGTCCATACAACCAAATCCATTCGGACTGTGCTACCAGCACGGGAGCTCTGAAGGCACATCCACCCACACAAGTGGAGCACAGGAGACTGTGGAGCCAGGTCACCCGGACTCAGCCCCCAGCCCTGCCATCTGCAAAGCTGTCAGTGCTAAATAAGTGTCTGTTATTATAGTTGTAGTGGTTATTGTTGTTGTTGTTATTATTATTATTATTATTATTATTATTATTAACTTCATGGTGTTGTATCCCAAACTTCCATGGATGGCCTCTAATCCCATGACTCTCCAAAGCCTTACAGAAGCAAAACCAAAAAGAAAAATCTTCAAAGTTCAAGCAGAGGTACCATTCTTTCTCTAGTAAAAAAAAAAAAAAGGAAGATGCTATTGTAAAAATATTGTAAAAATTCAAACTCACTCCTCCCCCAGCCTGTTTGCGGAGATACCATTTGCAGCGCACCTCAAGAGTGGTAGGGTGGCAAGTGGATAGGATGCGGGTGGAGGGGGAGAGTAGAAAAGTAAGAAAACAGTGTTTTGGAACAATTGATTTCCTGAGAGTTCTGAAGAGGTGACCCTCGGGCATTCAGCAGAAGAGCAAGCACACTGTTTCTAGACTAAAGAGCTTTGGCAGTGGGGACACATGTTGATGAAAACGGGGTAAACCAGCCTGAGAGGTGAGTGAAAAGCCTGCCAACTTGGCAAAAGCTGCAACCAGGAATGAGAGAAACCACCGGATGAAGAAGGACAAAACTGTGAAAGAACAGTGACAAGGGTCTATGGCTCATAGAGGTGTGAAACGGATCCCTTTGGAAACGTGTGGTTTCCCTTTTATGGGGCACGCATGTTCTTTGATAACACTACCTGTTGTTTGCTTGACTGAACGTTCAAAAGGCAGCGAAGTCTTTTAAGATCTGAATAGTCCCTAGGAGAAAGAACAACACAATGTCAGTCAACAGAAAATCCAGGTGCATGAGGTCCTGTTACCCCCTGATGTCATCACCACTTGGAGGCCATTCCTGCAGACTGATGCATGTGCCCCTTTGGAAGCCCTAGAAATGATCAAACATTTCAGTCAACATCGTAACCCAGAGGAGCGGTTGCCAAGGCCCTACTCTATTTCTCAAAAAGCCACTAAATCTGGTGACTAGCTACTGCCTGAGTTAATAACTAGCAAAGGCTCAGTATCTAGGATTACCTGGTGGTGACTCCTTGCTGTTTCTTATCAGTTGATTTTTCTGTGGTCTTCACCTTTTTGTCTTGATCAGGCATTGTAAAACATCAATGCCCCCGAATTAACATGGCATTCCTTTCAAAGGGGGAAAAGAACTTCAGTTGAGTCAAGTGCTCCAAAATCTTCTCAATTAATACAGGCAAAATTCACTTGTAATATTTATTTAAACACGTAAACACTAGCATTTAACTCCTCATGCGATAATTAAAATGATAATACAAAGACCATTCATTATTTATCATACAAAGGTCTTTGGACCCATTCAGAACATAATTAATAATTGCAGTGACCCATGAACCTATTTTCTGAGTCATCATTGAATTCAGACATTCTGAGTATTCACTGCCTCAGCAAGTATTATTCTGCTTGTCAGGAAAAGTACCCCCATTTATATCCACAAGCAACTAACGGAAGCCCAACTGATGCTTTCTCAACAAGCGTCCTAACGCTGTTACTCCATGGGGTTCCTCCTTCATCACAGTCAGGCACGTAAGAGCCCCAGAGAAATTCTCACTCATTTTTAAACAAGGATTACCGGTCACAGAAAGTGCCCAAAATGCTTTTGGACCCCCAACATTTCTCTAAAGCTTTTGAACTGCCACCCGAATCCCCAAGTGGGTCAACTGCGGTCCTAGGTTCTTCTACAAGACTTGGATCAGCCTTATAGAGCCCCTGAAGTCACCGAGTCATCCTCTTAGAAACGACAGCACAGGCCAAAATGGAATCTCTTATGCCAAGCCCAATGTCACCAGATTTAACTGTAGTTTTGGCTTCCCCAGAAACTTAAAGCAGCCGATCAGGAATTGCCTAATGAGCATTAGTTAGGGAATGTGCCTGAGAAGCCCTGCCTCCCCGCTCGGGGAAGGTGCTCTGCAATGACCAATCCGCTTGTAGACTAGTGTGACTTACTTGCTCCCGCTCCATCCCTAGCCTGCTAGACTTATACAAAAGTGCTTCTTTTTGTCCAGCTCCTCAGAGCTCCTTTCTATCTGTTAGATTGGAAACTGCCTGATTCATGAGTCACTGGATAAAGTCAATAAGATCTTTAAAATTTACCCAGGTTGAATTTGGGTGTTGTCGCTGTTGTTGTTTTTAAACAATAGGGACAGTGAGTCGGCCTGTCTGAAAAGACAGCCCAACAGTCTGTGCAATCTTCTGAATGAAGCTTTGTAATCCCCCTTCCTAGGACACACTTTAATACTTTTCCCACTCCCACTCAAAAGGTAAGTATGAGCTCACCAATGGACAAAGAAAAAAATGCATCTGTTTGCCTCTTGTACCTTAATTTCTCATTCAGTTTCCAGAAAAGACACAAAAACAAAGGTGAAGGTATCCATTTTCAATTATGTAGCAAATACCAAATTAAATATTCTATTGAATTTGATTGGCAGTAAAATTTTTCAACCATGCTTCAATGCCACAGCGTGACTTCAGTGTTTTCAGGCCTGAAAATGCATGCAACTCTGTCTTAAAATTGCTTGCCTCATTGTATTGTGAAATCAGTGGTCAAAATCCAAGAGTTTCAAAAGTATTTAAGAAGCAAAAGGAATGCACCCATGTGGTTTCACTGCCATAGAATCGAGTGAAATTTGATTTTGTGAAATAAACAGATGGTTTACCTGAGGATTTTTAAAAGGTTTTCCTGTGGGTTCCTATGAGCTGCCACTCATGGGCAACTGTGACCTATTTGCTGTCTGCAAATCACAGCAGAGCATTCCTTCACTACCTACAGACAATAGCCCATATCAGGAGGCAGACCCGGGGCCTCCTAGGCCACTGTTGACCCAGATTGTGTGACTACCTCCATGGTGGTCTCGGGATAACTCTGCCTGTGATAACGTCAAATATTTGGTTGACACAAATGTCTCTGACATATGGTCTATGATGTCCCCTTCTCTGTTCCTCGCAAACCTTCAACCCCCTCGCCTCAGGACTTTATTTCTCATACCACTGTTGCATGATCAGCTATTACTAGCCTGTATATTTTCAATAAATGGCACAAGAACTTCTGCTCCAGTAGCAGAGTCTTGCCTTGCAAACCTGCTCCACAACTGCTGTGTCCCGCATCGTGTTCTCTCTGCAAAGCGGCAACAAAGTTCCTGTTGCAACATTCCCAATATAATTGTCATATGTGTCCCAATATGGTTGTCATGTATATTGCAGGTGAGCTGAAATTAAGAGTTGGGGACCAAGGTTCTCATCACAGATGCACACCAAGAAAAGTGCAATATGAACAATATGAATATTTTAGGAGTATTCCTAGGATGTAACACCATGTACTCATTCACTCAACAAGCATTTATTGAACATTTACTAATCCCAATCTCACAGTGAAGACTGCAAAAGGTAAGAGAGGCTATTGTGGGTATGCAACTCTCCCACAAGCAAAGAAAATCCCACTTGCTTGGGAACCTTAAAAATTTGTCTTGGGAGATATTCAGATAGAGACTTGATTTAGCTTCTGCTCTATCCTGAAAGGGAGGGGAAAAAAAAAGAGAGAGAGCACAATGTGCATATTATTCTTTCAAAGCAAAAGATCCCAATGTTTTTTATACAGAGATGTTAAAGTATCCCCAAAAGTCCTGAAATAAATAGAAATCCAGTCAGAATAAGTAGTATCTACTTGTACTTTTTTTCCCTCAAAGACAGAGGGAAAATTCCAGACAGACGTACTGTCCTGTGGGCTTCAAATTCCTGTTCAAACCATAGCTACAAACTGGTTTTTTTTAGAAGTGGAAATGAAAGCATAGTGATTAGCACATGAAAATATGTGGAAAAGATGGCAGGTTTCTTTTGCTAAAAGATCACATCCACCACAATCAACCCATGTTAAACACCCCATCTTATTCCCTGGTTTAATCTCCATCATTTTATTGATTCAGTGTGTCAACAGGAAATAATCATCTAATAGTTTTATCAGTTTAAGATTAGCATCTACTCTCTGAGCTGGAAGAATGAGAATAGATAACTCTCTGGAAATGTTCCACTTCATTAAACAGTAAACAAATTCACCAGAATCAGTAGAAACAGACAATTGCCTGTAGGATAAAAAATAAAAATCCTTTCCACTTGATGGCTGCTAAAATGGAAACTATTCTGAAAAAAATTTTGGAAAGTTAGGCGTGCTTTAAAATACTTCATCGAATCCCATTTTAAATTAACAAAGATGATTATGCACCACTAACGTCTATAACCCAAAATGGGGGCGGGAGTGCAGCAGGGAAGGGTAGATCTTATCTTAAAGCAAGTCTCCGAGAGGCAGACAATTTATTCAGGAAACACTCCCTGGAGAGGAAAGCAAGGGTTGCATCTAAGCCAGAACTCTCCAGGGGGTAGTTTCCATCAGATTCCAAGGTGAGCCCTGACAGGGCCATCTAAACCTGAGGCAGGGAGCAGTTCTGGCTCCTGGGAGACTTCTCGTTGGTTAAGAGCCCCCAGAGAGGTCACAGGCCCCAGGCACTCCTGTGTAGGGTGTAAGGAAACTCCAGCCGAGTGGGGTGCATCCTTCAAAGAAAAGATGCAGGCATCCCAATTGAACCTGTGACCTGCTCCCAGTACTAAATTCCCCCCAGTGCTGCCCATCTCAGTCACAGGCACCAGCTTAGACGAAAGTTCAGAGGCCATTCTTGATCCCTGTTTTTCCTTGACCTCCCACATTCAAGTCGCCACCAACCCCAGTCTGTTTTTCCTCTCAGGCTGCTGTCACCCTGCATCCCCAGCTACCCGCTCCTCTGCCTGCACCACTGCCTGGCACCAGCCTCCCTTCCACCCTGCTCTTCTCTATCCACAGGAGCCTGGGTGGGGGGCGAGGAGGTGTGCCACTAATTTCAAATGTAAATCGAGTCATGCCATGTTGGTTGACCACCTTTCTGCGACCTCCTGTTGTACTTGGCTTCTAACCCTGACTCATCACTCAGGCCCTCCCACCTCTCCATTACTCCTCTCCATCAGGCTGGCTTTCTCCCTGGCCAGCAAACACGCCAATCTCATTCTTGCCCTCACTGTCCTCATATTCTCAGGCTGGCGGCTCCCTCCTGTCCATCCGGGTCTCAGCCCAGACGCCATACTCGGTGTGAACCCCATCAGCACACCAGCCCCACACTCATACTCACCCTGTGCTGTCTCCCTCTGGACCCATCAACACCCATATCCTCTTGCCCATCTATTGGTTTCCTTGCACAGATCACAAGCCCCATGTGGGCAGGGATGGTGTCTGTTTTAGCCACAAAAATAATCCCCAGCACATAGGACAGCACAGACTGGCACATGTGAACCCAATAGAAGCCCACAAAACATGTGTCACAACCTGTCAGGAGTGGCTCAGGTGGTATCACTGAAGTTGGTGAATTATTTGCTTTTTAATAATTATTTGCTTTTTTAACAACTAATTTTAGGATTAGAGCCTCCTTTGGTTCCCAAGCCTGGTGCTCCTACTCAGTGCCCAGGACACCCTGTAACCCCCAAATGTAAACCAATGCACAAAACGCAGCAGTTGCCTCGTTACCCCACAAGGTCAGGGACTGGGCTCTCTGATTCACCAGACCCAGGGTAGAGAAACAATAACCATTTATTGAATCAAAGAATTAATGAGTAGATAAATGGATTTTTTTTAATTTGTGTCATCATTCTTTTAGTTCAAAAATCTCTCAGGATGCTTCCTAATGTTACAGTAATCCTGGCCACACTCGGGAATATATTCCATCTTTAGGAGGGAAACTCGAGTTCTGCCTGAGCTGACATTCATGAACAGTGCTTCACAGATTATCTGTGGTGCACAAGTTTAAAAAAAAGAAAAAGTCCAATCTATTGTGGGGCTAAATGCTTCGGTCTATATCCTGTTCAGCAAGAGAAGCCCACTGGCCCCGTGCTGGGATAGCACGTTAGATGGGGCAAGCACTGCTAACCGCTTACTCTCAACTCCTGCTCTTATCTTCTGGAGGACCAGTAACATGCCACTCTGAAGACTGGCCGAGACTGTTGAAGTCCATCCCTTCAAATGACAATATGGCAACCCTGGACAACGGATTCCCTGAGACCCACTGGCTCCAGCACAGAGACCTCAGGCAGTAGTTGTT